CTCACGAATAACGTATGATAGAGCACTATAGATTCTACGTGGGGAGAAAAATGCATAAAAATAAAACGCATAAGGTACCTAGGTCCCCCCCTAAATGCATTTTCCTAGAATGGGGGATTGCTGGATATTCGTTTTGCCCCATCCAAATACGAAAGTCATCATCACATCTGGGAATGTTCGATCATATCCTGATCCACACTTCATGTACAGGTGATGACGGACAATGGATTTCAGGGCGCATGAGGTCTCCATCGCATACTCCATTCTGTCCACGAGTGGCAGATTCTCCGTCTCATTCCACAATCTCTGATATGCCTTCATGAGGATATTCATGAGAGATTGAAGACGTGCTGGAGCCTGCTGTAGGTATTCGCGGATTTGTTGGCGTTTCCAGTGATCGCGTCACATTAGTACAATGTCACGAGTGGCAGGATCTTGTTCTGAAAATCTTCCCTTGCTGCTCCATGGCTGATGGAGGGATGAATGTGGAAAACTCCGATGGTAGCAAACGGAAGGTCTGCCCTCGTTACGTGGCCGCTGTCAAACTCGAGGAGTGATTTGTTGGATGATTTTGGGAGCATACCACGATACTCATCACTCTGCTCGATATGGAGAACGACAATCTCTTTGTTACGTCCGTGTCCTTGGACAGTGGTGCGTGTTGGCAATCTCGGTCCGATGTACTTCTTGGACTCAGTAAACATGGATGGTCCCGTAGTTGCCAAACAGTCCGAGGTCGGAATGTCGTATTCAGGATCAGTGCAATTTTCCTTGGTTCCGAAGAAACATCTGAACATCCCGAATGTGGTTCCCCAATTCTGACTCTTTGTGGATGCAATTGGTCTGGATGACCATTGCTTGATAACGATGCCCTTGTACCCGAATCGGATGAACGTCTTGATGAGTTCTCTGGATTTATCATCTTGAGGACTGAGGAATGCGTCTGCTTCATTGAGGCATAAGATGTGTGCGCTGTTCTGCATCATCATCTTCACGATTGGTCGATCCTTCGTCGCCATGTTGCGCACCTCCCTGCCGTCTAGCTTTGGGTTCCTCGTGAGGTGTCCATGGTTCATGGTAAGCATGTTGATCGTCAGGGATGAGGTGTACTCATGCGTTTTGAGATGGTCCACAGGGGGACGATCGGTCGGCTGCATCAGCGATCCCAGGATATCGGCAAATGCTCGGATGGTTTCCGGGTCGTCATGTGAACTAAGCTTCTTCAATCCAAGTGGAAGCTTAATAGGATATCCGGATATTGGCTGTGCATTCCTGTACTCGTCCATGGTGGGACATTCTCCTCGATGGCGGAAGTAAAACTCTTCTTCTCCGAGATTGACATCAGGATTGACGTGTGCCAATGAGGCTCTCTCGCATTCTGTCAATTTACGATGAGCTCTCCTTGGATCCTTGTTGTGCTTCTCCATGAAGCGGAGGAAGTTCCTTTTGGTTTCCGTGAGCTCTTCCTCGGCGTCCTTCTTGCTCATTTCTATTTCAAGGTAGATTTCCTTGAGTTCCTGGATGAACTCGTCTAAGTTCTCGGAATTGCGATACTCCGATCTCTCCCCGGAGGGTTCCATGTTCTCCTCTTCAACTTCGTCTTGATCGGTGGAGCGCCGTCGCTTCTTGGTCTCTGAGGAAGTATATTTTTCTTTGCTGTGCTTATCGGAATTTACATGGCTGAAGAAAGCATCGGCGAATTCGCGGATCTTGGTGTCGTACATCTCAACATCTTCACGACTGAGAAGCTTCTTCATGATCCAGTTGTTGCTCATCATGGAGGTACCGTCAGGTTCATATGCTGCAACAATGTTCTTCGCCTCGATGGTTTGTTCTGTCAGTGCTGTTCGCTCTTCGGAGAGTCGGATGCCATAGTCCTGGTCCTTGAGGAATGCAAGGATCAACAGTGCATCTCTTCCTGCTGGCACATGTGTGAGTGCTGCTTCTGACTTGTCATCGTCGAGGATAACGTCGTCAATGCATGCCATGTGGACGTGCATTCTCCCCGAAGGGTTTGACTGGGATTTCCCAGATCTGAGCCCGTTCTCTATGATGCTGATGAGTTGATTTCCATAGGTTGCATGGAACATGAAAGTGATGGGCTTCTTCGCGAACAGTTTGATCTTTCTTTCTTCTTCAATGGATGGTGGTGCCGGCCTTCGCATTCTGTATTTTGCCTGAGCTGTGCCTTCGTCTTCATGGGGCGCACCTGATCTTGACGGACTGTTGCATCTCACGTAGAACTCCATGTTGGGATCATTGAGGAATTCCTTGCCATTAGGCCGGAGTGCATCGTATGCGGATCTCGTAGTGAGTTTGTCGATCCATCGATTTCTTGGAACAATTTCTCCCCTTGCCTTGCGCTCATTGTGTGACCCGTCCACGGATGGATACACGAACGCAATCTCGAAACGTGACTTTCCATAGTTCGGGAACATAGCCATCAGGAGAAGTCCTGGCTTGTTTCCAATGAAATTCCTGGCATGTGTAATGCAGGACAATGCATCGTAGAGCTCAACGGATCCATCAGAGCCCATGTCCACTTGTCGTTTGCATTCTTTATGGATGCCATGCCTTGGATCATGTCGAAGACATCCGGAAAACAATCTGCTCATTCTCTCGATTCGCCAGAGGATAAGGTCGGTGATCTGTTTTGCCTTGGATGGATCCATGCTGAAGTACTTGCAAACCTGTTCAACATTCTGGACGGTCTTCTCGAGATCAATGAAGCTGTTGTGACATACCATCGGGATGATGTCGGTTCCGTAAACTTCTGGCTGAGCATTGGTGTAGCAGCAAATGCTGTAGACCTTCTTGATGAAGTCCATGTATTGTTTCTCTGCGTGAGGGCCTTCACCTTGAAGCGTTGGCCGCCAATAGTCGTTGAATCTGGCCTTCAGCCAGAATACCTTGCCTCCAGGCGGTCGTTCATGCTCAGGAATGAAGTGGAAGTCCGGATTCATTTCAAGGATGGTTGAGCACTCCGTGTAGTATTCGTACACGAAATTGAGGAATTTAGAATTCCCGAAAGGTCCTGGGTGTACGGATTCCCTCTGAAGGCTGATGTCGGTATCTGATCCATCTGGTACATGCCGCAGGTCGTTGGATGTGAGAGTTGGCCGCATCGCTGGTCGCCTTGGAAGTGCAGGTCGGTCACCAGAATGATTGTCGGATTCTGTCTCCTCATCCAGGATGTTCTTCGGTGCTGGCTTGACCTTCGACACAAGCCTCAATGTTGGTGGTGGTGACTTTGGAACCAGTTTTGGATGTGGCATCACCTTCGACGTCGGCCTTCCTGCGGGAGGCTGCTCTTCCTCATCTGAATCATCGTCGTTGTCGGAATCTGGGTCGTAGTCAACCTGCTCCATGTTGACATTCTCTGGTTGTTGAGAGGCGGATGGATTCTCATCGGCGACCTGCTCCATGGGGCAGTCGGATGTCTCATCTTCCTCATCACGAGCAGGGGGTTCCTTCAACGGAGATGCCCGTCTCTTCACCAGCGGCTTTGGCAAAGGAGCCGCGGTGTTGGATCGTCCAAAGATCGTGTTGGGAATCGGCATGTCTTCGAGTGATCGAGCATACACGATTGCAAAGGTCGGATTGGTTGTAAACCGGAAGTGGCTGCGGATGCAAACACATATTTCTTGAGATTCAAAATGGGTCAAGTGCAAGACACGCATCACGGAATTGAGGAATTGAAAATGTGCAAAATGAAAAACTCATGCATCAGAATTCGTGGACATGCGGATCATGCCTGTTTTATTCGCGGCGTGCACGCGCAGTAGGTAATGAGCAAACAGTCGAACAGAGAAACAGGCTGGAAAAGTTGAATTGTATTTGCAGACTCCGATACAATATATATATATATCCTATCAGGCACTCCAGCTGACGTTTTACCTTGCCGTCTCACATCGCGGTGGCAATAGCATCCCGTCACGCACCGGCGCAAACAGCGCCAGCAGCTAACCCACCGCTGCCGCGCGAAGCCACCTACCCTAACTCTAAACCAACCCAGCCTGACCACTCCCGACCACGCAAAGGTGCAAAGACAACCACTGAAACAATCACATCTTGATCAATGAGGTAGTCACATAGAGTACCTCCCACTCCACCAAACCTTTGCTGGCTTTGAAGGGACCCAGCCAAAATACTGTGCACAGTTGGTTTCTTCAGCAAGAACCCCCATAGTAGAAACTATGGACCCAGTATATGGGCTTGCCGTGCATCACTGTGGAGCTTGCCACGTAGAAGCTCTGGGCAACCCAAACATGCTCAGGCCCTGCAAAACAAGGAATTGACACGTCCGGATTCTAGTGAAGGAGTATGAGTGTCACGGCACGCAGGGACAACATGTGACGCAGGCCGTCACTCCATGTCAGACCCTTCAGCAATGCGAATCTCTTTTTATGTTCAGGACTGCTTTGCAATCGGGCCGAAGGAACACGAAGCCAGCAGCCTGGCATGCAAATTTCCGGGGCAGCTGTCTGAAGCCTCTGGCTACAATCTCAGCTTCATATTCCCTACTCGCACAAAAGCTCCGAGAGGGCGGGGCTTCAGATTCACGGGCACGATCTCCAAGGATGCGTCCTCCCCGGATCTGTCGTTGTCATCAGAGCAGCAGGCGTCTACTTCCACCCACTCGTTTTCTTCAGAGGTCCGCGGCTGTTTCTGCACCGGCTTCTCTGTGGGCAACACGCCGAATCTGCGAAGAAGCCGCCAAAGCGCCACCCCCAGAAACATCGAGCCCAGAGCAGTCTGCGCCAACGACATTGCTTTGGGGTTTATGTGACCATCTCAGCCAAAACCTCTGGCATGCGGTTAATCGCATGAAGGACTCCACTCCATCCACCAAGGGAATCAGTGAAAGACGCCTGTTCGAAACATGAGTCTGCGCACGGATCTTCCACCCCAGCACGCCGCCACGTCCTCCAGACAAACACACACCCGAGAACCTTCAGTGGACCCCCTGCGAGGTTTCCAAACGAACAGAACTCGACGGTCCGATGTCCAGAATCTACCCGTCCCTGAAACGATGCACCAGAACATCTTTCCAGATCAACAACACCCTTTCATACCAGCACCGGCTTCTCTTTTACCTGCGAGAGCACCGAGTCAATTGACTGTTGTTCAGCCGCACATCCTCTTTGTTCCTTTCCAGTCGATGTTGGGAGCTAAAGCGCGTTTCCGGCTCCTTTGGCGGCACGCTCCTTGCCGCCGTGCTTTCCACTCAATAAACTAGACCACGGTTGGCCCGAAAGCATAACATCGCAAGCGAGGTCGGCCCAACGCTGCAGGATGCGTTCTTTTTCCCTCCACGAAGCATTTGTGAAGCAAGCGCGAGACAGCACCAGGCAAGGTGCTCTGCGCAAACTGGTCGGTGCAAGTTGGTCTGTGCAAGTTGCTCTGCGCAAGTTGCTCCGCGCAAGTTGCTCCGGCAAGTTGGTCCCTGCAAGTGGCTCCCTGCAAGTTGCTCTGTGCAAATTGCGCTCCCTGCAAGTTGCTCTGTGCAAGCTGCTCTGTGCAAGTTGCTCTGTGCAAGTTGCTCTGCGTAAGTTGCTCTGCGCAAGTTGCTCTAGGCAAGGCGCTCTGCGCAAACTGGTCGGTGCAAGTTGGTCTGCGCAAGTTGCTCTGTGCAACTTGCTCTGCGCAAGTTGCTCTGCGCAAGTTGCTTTAAAATGCAAGTTGCATCTTGCGACGCCCGCCCGCGGACCAGGGAGGAATCGAACCCGCGACCCGCCGGCCGGGAGCAGGCGCGCGAACCACGAGACAACTCCCGAGGACCAGTTCGAACAACAAAAGTCGCAAAAAACCTCGAGTTTTTGCACCTCGACCACGCCGATTCCCGCAAAGAGCGTTGTTGCGGGCGCCGCAGAAATCGCAAAACCTCGAGTTTTTGCACCTCGACCACGCCGATTCCCGCAGAGCGTTGTGCGGGAACTTTAGAAATCGCAAAAAACCTTGAGTTTTTGCACCTCGACCACGCCGATCCCCGCAGAGGGTCGCGCGGGAGCAGAAATCGCAAAAAACCTTGAGTTTTTGCACCTCGACCACGCCGATCCCCGCAGAGGGTCGCGCGAGCACCGCAGAAATCGCAAAAAACCTCGAGTTTTTGCACCTCGACCACGCCGATCCCCGCAGAGGGTCGCGCGGGCACCGCAGAAATCACAAAAAACCTGAGTTTTTGCACCTCGACCACGCCGATCCCCGCAGAGGGTCGATTTTCGTGTAGTGTCGTCGGCACTACCCCGCCGCCCTAAGAAGAGATTTTAACTCCTCGCAAGTCAATTGCACTTGGCTCCTTGCACTTGCAACTTGCACTTGACTCCTTGCACTTGCAACTTGCACTTGACTCCATGCACTTGCAACTTGCACTTGACTCCTTGCACTTGCAACTTGCACTTGACTGCTTGCACTTGCAACTTGCACTTGGCTCCATGCGCAGCTCGCAATGACTCTCATGACTCCTTGCAATGACTCCTTGCAATGACTCCTTGCAATGACTCCTTGCAATGACTCCTTGCAATGACTCCTTGCAATGACTCCTTGCAATGACAATGACTCCTTGCAATGACTCCTTGCACATGACTCCTTGCACTCCTTGACTCCTTGCAATGACTCCTTGCAATGACTCCTTGCAATGACTCCTTGCAATGACTCCTTGCAATGACTCCTTGCAATGACTCCTTGCAATGACTCCTTGCAATGACTCCTTGCAATGACTCCTTGCAATGACTCCTTGCAATGACTCCTTGCAATGACTCCTTGCAATGACTCCTTGCAATGACTCCTTGCAATGACTCCTTGCAATGGCTCCTTGCATTGACTTTCATGATGATGATTCCTTGCAATGACTCCTTGCATTGACTTTCATGATGATGATTCCTTGCAATGACACCTTGTAATGAGTCTCATGAGAACAACTCAAGTGAACCCAGCGGAAGAACCCTTCGCCATGCTTTCGGGAAAACTGCAAGACGGCAATGGCCTGACATGCATTCTGACTGGCATCAGAGACGCAAAAGTCGGACTTTACAGCTACGCTCACATGGCCAAAAGTGACTTCACTCGGCAGCCACTTGCGAACTTCAGAACATATCTGCGAGTAGCCCCAGCTCGCCGCCTGCTGTCGCTGGCGGAGTGCGCAAACTAGGCGTTGAAAAGCCTGGCTGTTAGCTCCGTGTCGGCAGTGACGGGTCAGCTGCTGTTTCCGGTAGTTCCGAATACCAAATAATGGAAACGCTGCCATTGCGTCCCAGGACAGCAAATACTCGAGCGTGTGTGTGAAAACCAGTTCCCCGCCAAAACCTGTTACATGTGCGAGGGCATCCGCCAGCTGCGACACTGTCTGAGCGGCCAACATTCCTGACAACGCCGCTGGCTCATACCACAACTGCCGAAGCAATCCTTCCAACAAGCGCTCTGCGCTCCATGTCTTTTGCTCGGACGTGTGCTTGCTACGAGCGCGGTTAGCCTGAAGACCAGGAAAGCGATTAGCAGCGTAGAGAGCATCGTAGAGTTGGCCGAAGCACGCGCAGTTGCGAAGGAGAAAGTCAGGCCTTGATAGCAAAAATGCGAGTGTGTCTCGCGACCTTGTGGCCAGGACGAACAGCATGGTGGCAAGCACATGACGCTGTTGCTCAGGCGACAAGGGTGTATGGGTCCAATGCCTCCACCACTGACAGCCCATGTCATTGAATGGGTCGCTTGGCTGCTGATCGCACACATCGATGCCGGTCTTGAACACTGAGTGTAGATGCATCTGCTTGACGCAGGATCTCAATGTAGTGCCGTGGCGGGGGACCTCGGCATGGATCAGCCGTTCAAACAGGTCTGTCGTCAGCAGCCCGCCAACCAGAGCAGTAGGCATCCTCCCCTGCTTTCTCCCCGCGCAAATTCGGGCCACCACGTAGCAAGCCAGATACAAGCAGAACAGGTGAGAAGCCTGGACGGAGGCAAGCTTGTCCTCCCACAGCGCACGCAGCGCTGCGTACACCACCGTCTCCTTCCCGGGCGTAGTGGCATCAGCAAACTTTACTTGGCGCAAATGCGCCACGCGCCTGGCCAATCTGCTATCCTTGCTGTAGCCACGTTTGGCAGCCTCAGCTAGGCTCACAGTCTTGCGACCGGGCATGCTACACAGAGCGCGATATGGAAGGAGAAGATCGGAAGATCACTCTTTAGGAGCCGAGCATGCGGCGAAGGTGATGTGCGACTTGCACAATGTCGCTCTGCAGCACTGCCAGGTCCCTTTACAACTCTTCGTTCGTCACCGCCTGCGTTGAAGGCAACGAATCTACTTCTTCCATCAAAAAATGTGCACAGCGCTGCCCCTTCTGCTTGAGCACGCCATGTGCACAAGTGTTAAAAAACTGCAGACACTGGCAAACACGTGCGCATCCCGTAACATGACATGTGAAAAGCGCTCACGCATGCACAAACACCCTCACATGTGGCTTCACTCGGACCGCAGCTCTGTTTGACTGCAGGATCTAAGCCCCCAGAATCTGATCCGGTGATGTTAGACGTCTTGTGGCAATATCCAAAGAAGCCAACAAACGATACCCATGGCAACAAACGTCAACCAGGAAGCAAGAGAGCCTAACAGCTCGGCGAAAGCACCAAGCACGCTAGGTCTTCGCAACCTGTCTGACGAGCAGCTAACAGTTACCCCAAACAACTTCCCGCTTGTGCAGAACTTTGACTTGGAGCTTTGGTCACTGTTTGCAACGCCACGCGCCTGCGACACGGTCAGAAGACATCCTGCAGCAGTAAGTCAAACTGTCAACTAACCCAAACTGCTCCGCGGCAACAAACGTCAATCAGGAAGCAAGAGGGCCTAACAGCTCGGCGAAAACACCAAGCACGCTAGGTCTTTGCAACCTGTTTGACGAGAAGCTGACAACTACCCCAAACAATTTCCTGCTTGGGCAAAACTGTAACTTGGAGGACTCAAGAAAGACGGAAGCTCAGAGGTCTGATGCCTTCCTGTCAATAGCCACGCTGCGTGTAACATGTGGGGCTCGCGCAACTCGGCTGGTATCACTTGGAGCCTGGCTCTGGGTCAGACGCTGCCTCATCCTTCATCTCCCGCAACATCTACCTCTGGCATTGTCTCCGCAGCGGGAACGCTGGCCCGTGACAACGAGCCGCTCGTAGTTGCCAGAGCGCCCGCTTCACCTCCACGATGGCCAGATGGGTTGTCAAGGTGTTCTTGCAAAGCCCCCAGCCACCCATAAAGGAATTCCATGAGCCCTGTCAGGCCACTCACGTCACTCTGCAAGCGGTCAATGGCCATCTCAGTCTCAGACTCTGCGCGTCTTCGCCTCCGCTTTGCTCGACGATCACGGTCGCCATCTGAATCATGACTGCGATCGCCACCACCACCTTCACCCTCACCTGGGCTGGGATGCTCTCCACCCGCGGGCCTCGTGCTTGGCGCAAACCTTGCCGCCGATGTTGCGAATGCTGGAGGCTGCCCGTGCCCCGAAGCTGCCGCTCGCGCAACATCAGGACCGCCATTCCCGCCCGACCCAAAAGTCTGGACATTGATGCGAGCGCTACTCCCGAATGGCACAACTATCACGGCTGCATTGCTACACCCAGTCACAGACACGGAGACTACCGTGCGAGGAGGGGCTGCCATGAACCTACGGAATCTCCAGCCAAACTCAACTGCCCGTGCTGGAGCGCAATCAATCTGCAATTCCTATACCACGTTTCATGGCTCTGTGGGGCCCAACCAAACAAGCCGCATCCAACAAAATAGAATGCAACGAGGCGCTCTGAAAAACCCCCTGAGTCGTCAGGCAAAAGCCCCACTGGAGCCAACGGGCAACCCGCATGGGAACGAATGGCAGCCAAAGCCAGCGAGGCCGATAGAAAAACTTGGCAAAAGCCGCCTGCAGGATCTGAGCCCCCAGAATCTGATCCGGTGATGTTAGACGTCTTGTGGCAATATCCAAAGAAGCCAACAAACGATACCCATAGCAACAAACGTCAACCATTAAGCAAGAGGGCCTAACAGCTCGGCGAAAGCACCAAGCACGATAGGTCTTCGCAACCTGTCTGACGAGCAGCTGACAATTACCCCAAACAACTTCCTGCTTGTGCAAAACTTTTTACTTGGAGCCTGGGTCACTGTTTGCAACGCCACGCGCCTGCGACAGGGTCAGAAGACGTCTACCACGCCAGGCTCAGGCCCCAAGATGCTACCGGCAAGATCTGGCCCCGTGATTTAGACATCCTGCAGCAGTAAGTCAAACTGTCAACTAACCCAAACTGCTCCGCGGCAACAAACGTCAATCAGGAAGCAAGAGGGCCTAACAGCTCCGGCGCCCGATTGCCTGGCAGCCTTGCTACGGGAAGAGCTCACTACCAACGCGCAAGGACTTGCACATGTCTCTGGAGTCCTGGCAATCTGTGATGTCCGACCACTTCCTCTTACGAAAGGTCAATGTCGCATGACCACCGCCTTGCCCTGGGACAATGTCCAGAAGGGAATGCGAGGCAAGGTCTCGAACAGCTTGTAGCAAGGTGTTGGCGGGACCGTTGACCTTCTTCTTGCGGTCTCCCTTGGCTCCACGATCACACAAAGCCTGCAGACGACCCTTGAGCTTTTTCCTGACATCCTTCGTGCTCTGCACCTCAGTTGTGCTTGGAGTGCTCTGCAAGACCCACTTCATGCAGAGGTGAGAAGCATCTTGACCTTGGGCGGGCCCAGTAGACGTAGCTTCAGCCCCGGCCTTGTCAGCAGCAACCACCAGGCCGGAGTAGAACTCCAGCTGGCGGCTCCAGGAGTGGATGCCGTACTGGATGTCGCCGATGGCCTTCTCCTCGAAGCCAAGCCCGGCGCGGAGCCGAAGGGACCTGAGAAGCTGATGGCCCTCGTTTTCAGGGGGGCACGCGGCTCTCGACTTCAAAGCGGGCTTAGCATGACCATTCCGGAGTGAAGGGCGACTTACCGCCCACAAGTGCTACAGGATTTGCGCGGGCAAGGCCTTTGCTTTTTTCTTTTTATGGCAGGCCGGGGGTTGATGGATTGTGGCCACGTGGGCAGCTCATGGCTGTACGACTGCATGGCCTACGACTTCCCAAAGCCAGAAATGATTCCAAATGTGAATCTAAACGGCTGCCAGGGAGCTGACGCATCCTTCGGACGATGTTGCTGATGCGCATAGTCCAATTTCTGGGACCACGTCTCCGGCAGGCTCACCGACTCTGCGAAGTCGTCAACGCATTGCTGGATGAGCCTTGCGAGACAAGAGGGACACGCGCGAGGCACGGAGAAAGCAGCACGCGATGGATAGTTCTGCTCGCGCAGAGCAGAGCAACTTGCACAAAAGCATGCGGGCAAGGCCCGCCTGAGCCAGCCGGCAGCGAACTCATCGCACGTGACCGTGGCGCCTTTGTTGGGCTCATCCCCCTGCGTGGCTCTCTCGGCCATGAAGTCGGCAAGGAACTGCTTGGACTCTAGACACTCCTGCTCCGGTATCGTGGCCGGCTTCATGCCCTTCACGACGATGTGGAAACGTTTCGGGAAGCCGACTTCGGCCCCCTTCCTCAAAGACAGAACCTCCGATAACGGCTGAACGTGTCCGATGATCCAATGATAGAAGCTATAGTGGGGGTTGTCGTCCACCGTTGCTCCGGTGAGGGAGGCATCGCGCTCTGAGTGCACGAACTTGTTGATGAGAGACTTGGCCGCCAGCTTGGCTTGCGGGATGGATGGGTCGGTCCACGACGTCTTGTAGGTCTCGCTCAGCTCCGTCGAAGAGAGGCCTGAGCGTCTGTAATTGTACAGGTTGTTGCGGTGACCTTTCATGGTCGCGTCGGTAGCGATTGCCGCCGAGCCCTTGACGCCGTGCGGCAGCGTGTCGATGTCGAGCAGCTCTTGAAGTAGCCACTTATGCATGGAGCTCTTGCGGTTGCTTGCCCGCGAACCGAAGAACGCTGCCAAGGTGGGTGTTCTGGCATGCTCCTCACCCTCCGAGATCTGGATCCTGGTGTCCACGTGCTCCAGCCAGCCGGTGACAGTAAAGAGGCCTGTCGCAGGGACAGCGTGGGTGTGCAGCTGCGTGCGCGCCAGTATTAACCCGACCCATAGGGGATGCAGGGACAAGCGCGCGGTCAGAACACCACCGCATCTTAAGCCGTTTGCCGCGCGTCAACGCGCCGTGCCTTGCAGGGCTGCCTCGGCGCACCAGCCCTGTGCCTTGCACATGGTCTGCACCGCTGTGATGATCGGCACCGGAGCCAGGAGGTTGATGTCGAACGCGGAGTCGTCGCCAACCTCCACCAACGTACTCCGTGGCGCGCTCAAGCATTGCGAACGTCGCCTGGTACAGCTTCCTACATCACTGGCGCATTCCTGAAGCTTGCTCAGGATCAACTGGGCTGGATCAGACCGTCTGTCTGCTGTCTCTCGCGAGGGCCGAAAGGCAAACCGCAGGCGCTCATCTGACTCCACAAGCCCTACGCCTTGGGACTGCGTCAGCTGTGAAGGTTGCAGGTCCTCATCTGCAGTGCCGAGGACCAAAGCCTGGACGGTGCTCTGCGCCGGCACGCCAGCGTCACAAGGCTCCAGGTCCTCATCTGCGGTGCCGAGGACCAAAGCCTGGGCGGCACGCCAGCGTCACCGGACATAATTACATGGCAAGCGGAAAGACACGCGAAGCCGCAAAAGCTGCGAGCCCGAAAGGCGGCAAGCAGCAGTATGACCCTGAAGCGCAAGCTGTGTCCTGACAGGGATTCCCGAGTCCTCATTGTCCGTAACTTTGCGCCAGTTTGCGCCCCACGGGACGCTGCAGCGATACCCTGAAGGGTAGTCATGTGAGGGCCGTCCAAAACCCGCGACTTTACGGTTTAGTAAGGATGTTACTTTTCAAAAAAAGATGCCAAGGCTTGTGCTCACCCCAAACCTAGCTGCGCCCAAAAACAATTTATTTCGGCCCGAAAAATGGTTTTTGCGTCGTCTCTGGCTGCCTCGCTCGCTTCGCCGAGCTGCCAGTGACCAGGTTGGCACATTTCCGTCGCCGCTCAGTGGCCCAGGCTCCAGGTCACAGTTTTGCCCAAGCAGGAAATTGTTTGGGGTAGCTGTTGGCTTCTCGTCAAACAGGTTGCAAAGACCTAGCGTGCTTGGTGCTTTCGCCGAACTTCAAGTGGCTCCAAGTGGTTCCAAGTGGCACCAAGTGGCTCTAAGTGGCGCGTGCCGCTTCAAGTGGCTCCAAGTGGCTCCATGTGGCTCCAAGTGGCACGTTCTGTTTCAAGTGGCTCCAGGTGGCTCCAAATAGCTCATGTATGTATGTATGTATGCTAAGTGGCTCTTGCCCAAATTGCAGCTTTCTTTCGTTTGCTTCTTGCGCGTCGCCTGGGAGGGCCAGTGTTGGCACGAGCCAGAAAGCTTGCCTTGCGTGCGTTTCTGCCACAAGGCCCGGCTGGAGCGCAAGCCTGGCGCAAAGCGGGCGCGAAAACAAAGGCGCGGATGTAGCTCCTGAGCGATGGGCCAGGGTGATGGCGGGCTGCCAGTAGCCGCCTTTCTGGCTGTATCGCACGCGCCTGCCTCTTCCCAAGGCTTGTGCTCACCCCAAAAACAATTTACTTCGGCCCGAAAAATTGTCTTTGCGTCGTCTCTGGCTGCCTCGCTCGCGCCCAACTCTTCACCCCAAGCCCGGCGGTGTCAAAAAAAGAATTCATTTTGCGCGACAGGTCCGGGATTCGAGCCTCCAAATTTTCCCGCACAAAGTTGAGTCCGATGCATTTGCCGCTGAACCAAGGCCGGCTCGCTCACAAGCGGGGCTGAAGGCCCCCTTTTTCCCGTGTGATTGCTTGGGTTGCTTACCGCCAGAAGGTTCGTGTGTGTTCTTGTAGTATATTATCAGATCTTTCCTTTCCTGACGGCGGCATCTCCTTGGGCGCTGGCTCGGGGGCCTTAGGCCACACCTGACAGATCAAGCTGACATCACATTCATGACTGGCCGCAAAGAGTCGGGACAGTGCCAACACAGGAAGCGGGGACAGCCACCTGCAACAGCAAAGCTGAAAAAGAGCATAGGGCTACAAGCATGACTTCAGGACGCAATATGCCAGGGTGACCGTGGTTTCCCGAGGCGGCCTAAGATGTAGGCAGGTCCTGCAGCACGATGCGTTGCTGGCACCGGTACTCCAGGAGTTTGCCCCTCTTTGCGGCCTGAATGTGGAGGAGGTCACATTCCTCTCCGGAGCTGAGCGACTCAAGGCCAAAACTGCCAAGGAAAGGGCGGCGGAGACCGTGGGAGCGGCGCTGCGAGGTGGGAACAGAAGTTCACAGGCAATCATGGAAGATTTCTGGCTGCATGCTGAGCTGTCTGCCGTTTCGAAGGCGACCTATGTCAGGCGCCCTGGCTTGAGCAACCGTAGCATTCTATCACTTTGAGCACCAGACATTCTTGGACGGTCAGGCTGTGCGAGGAGAACGATGTGCAGGACGAGCAGCTGCAGACCTGGGCCTGGGAAACCATCGCTGGGGACAGCGTGTCGATGTCTTAGGAGACGTGGCAACTTTTTGTTTGTCCTCACGCAGAGCTGCTTCTGGAGCGACATGTGCACCGGGATGTGAGCTTGGACAGCGAGAAGGTGGCATTGTGGCAGGCCGGAGCCATTGTTCTGGCTTTGAGGCCCCCGCAAACGCACGGCAGCGTCTGGCGCCAGGAAGTTCGGTGGGGCGACGATCAAGGATGGGTCACCACCATGGACACGGCAGGTGTGTACACCCGCCCGGTTTTTCCAGCCTTGGGCTCCTCAGTCGCGGAGGCAGACCTTCAGCGCTACGCAGCCCTTCCCGCAGAAACAGCTGCTCAATGCATAGCTGAGGCCTGCAGCAAAGGGCGCTGAAATTATTATTTTGGCGTATCATTCTGCCTCGTGCGTGTCTTACTTACTTGGCCCGCTCAGGAAGACATCAAGATTGACGAGGAACTCATGGCCGGGGCGGGTCGCGCTCGGTCACGACCCAAGATGCTGGCGCCAAGGCAGCCGCTGTGCCAAAAGGTGCCAACAAAACCCGCAGGTACGTGGCGCATGTAAATGATGAGATCCGTCGGCTGCAGAGTGGCCGGCGCCCCCCTTTTTTGATACCCAGGGTGGCCTTCGCTAGGTTGACTAAAGATATATCACGCCGGCTTGCTGATGAGTCGAACTCACACACAAGCTGAAGCTTAGCTCTGCTGCATTTGACACTTTGCAGCAGTGCGCGGAATGGGCCATTACTGACCACCTAGCTGACGGCAACGCTGCCGCGGCGCACGCCCAGCGCAAAACGCTGCAAGTCCGTGATTTTGCATTGGTCCGACGCTTGAGGCGTCGCATGGTGTAGATACTCTTTGCCCAGATTGCCAGGCACTCCTGGTAACATCTTGGGGCCTGAGCCTGGCGCGGTAGACGTCTTCTGACCTCGCAGGCGCGTGGCGTTGCAAACAGTGACCCAGGCCCCAAGTCAGAGTTTTGCCCAAGCGGGAAGTTGCTTGGGGTAACTGTTAGCTGCTCGTCAAACAGGTTGCGAAGACCTAGCGTGCTTGGTGCTTTCGCCGAGCTGTTAGGCTCTCTTGCTTCGTTTGTTGCCATGGGTATCGTTTGTTGGCTTCTTTGGATACTGCCACAAGACGTCTAACATCACCGGATCAGATTCTGGGGGCTCAGATCCTGCAGGCGGCTTTTGCCAGGACGCTGGCTGGCCAAGTTTTTCTATTGCAACGACAACGGTTTGACAGACCGCAACCTTTCAGGGTCCCTCAGGGACAACCCCACTTTTCGGGTCCTTGCATGGCTCTTTTGGCGCTTTCTGAGCAGCCGAACTTGCTGAATAAATAGCATTTTTGCTGGAATGCAGCTGCTGATGCATTCCCTTGGGGCGCAAATGGGCGTAAACAAAAAAGCCGAGTTTTTGGAGTTCGTCGTAAAACTTGCTTTGTTTTATAATTTGCTACGGCTGAGCCTCTTTGAAGACACTTCGCGCTTCTTTTATCGCGGCAGCGCTGACGTTTGCGCGGTTAAAAAACCGGCCATGACTTCACCGCGCCAGGCTCAGGCCCCAAGATGTTACCAGCAAGATCTGGCCCCGTGATTTAGACATCTTGCAGCAGTAAGTCAAACTGTCAACTAACCCAAACTGTCTGACGAGAAGCCAACAACTACCCCAAACAATTTCCTGCTTGGGCAAAACTGTAACTTGGAGCCTGGGCCACTGAGCGGCGACGGAAATGGGCGTGCCAACCTTGTCACTGGCAGCTCGGAACGCCAAGCGCACCAGCAACAGGACCAATGTCAGGACCCAAGTCCACATGATGGCCTCCAGAAGCTGGTAGTAGCAAATGAGGATGACCGCAGTGGTGCCATCGGCGTCCACATGGATCTCAAGAACGGGCCACCACGGCTCCTGGGAGTATCTTGGATCTTGCCCAGCTCCTGCTCCAACTCCTCCCATTGCGCAAACGCGTCCCGGTTGGAGTACTTGCCGCTGATCGGGTCATACCTCACCACGGCCAACTCGGCAGAGCGGATGATGAGAGTGTTCTCCACGGGCCCGTTCGCCACGGCTGCCTCCATCACGGTTTTGATTGAACTCAGTTACAGGCTTGGAAAAGGCTGCAAGCCTGCAATTTGTTTGCATGACCGAAACAGCCGGGCACTATCACAGCATTAGTTGATGATTAGCCCCAAGTGACAGAACAAGGTCATACAATTGGGACAAGCGCAAACTCACACCAGGCCTTGATCTGCCACACCTTGCTCTTCGCACCGCCCCAGCGCAATTGGATGCCTTCCCCCTTGTTCAGGCGGTCCCACAACACGACGGGCATCAGCGTGACATCGCCCCAAAAGCGCTTGGCCTCCTGCTTGGTCGGCTTTCACCCGGCAACCACGAGCCCAGTGGCGTCAAGCCTCTTCGCTGAAGAGGCTGGGCCAAAGAGCCGTGTCCAGGGCATGCTCTGTGACCGCCTTGAGGTGGTTCTTGCCCTGGGTGTGGCAGGGGTCCCAGACCACACCACAGAACTTGCACCTCCCACCGATTCCCTCCGCCGGCTTGGCAATGGCTTGCGCCCGGCTCAACTCCGCTGCCGCAAGCGGATCCTTCAGGCCCGCAGGCACGGCAAGCGCCGCACTCAGCCGCTCCTGGATTGTGACCGCGGCGCCCACCGAGACCATGCCCAAGTGCTCTGCGAGGAGATCTGAAAACGGTGTTCGCCGTGAGGTCTCCCTTGCATTAACCTCCTTACACATGCATTTCTTGATCATGGCTCTTCGGATCCTCTTCGCTGCCCTCTTAGGGCCTCTGTCCCTCTCATTGCGGGCCTTGCTCAGCTTTGAGCTGGCCGAGGTCGTGTTTCCCAAAGAAGCAGCTGAGGCATCAGACATCCCGTCCTCATCCACGTGGGATTCCGAGGCTCTCGTGGATGCGTCAGCCATGCTCATCGCCAACTCGTTCTTGGCCTTCACCTCGCAAAGCTTGGACATCGACATGGCTTTTTCTTCAGGGGCTTTTTGGTACTAACGTGCTTTTCTTGGCAGGAGCGGCGGCTGCGTGGCAGACGTGGAAAACAACAGCAGTCAGCCCCCGAGTTGCAAGCTGATGCTTGGGACACTGTGGTCAGCCCCCCCGCGCAGAAGATCAGCAATCGCCACTTCGGAGTTCGCGTGTCAGGGTTCCTTGAAATGTGAAAGCCCTAGTCTAGTCGAGTTTCGCCGTAAGGCCTTTGGATCTACCCCCGGCACACTCTACAAGATGTTTCAACAGAAGTGGAGCAAGGATTCACGGACTGTCTGGCCTGTGAGTGCAAGGAGCTGCACTGCAAGTAGCAAGGGTGAGGGAGGTGACTGGGCGGAGCCTTGGAGTCGCAGGAGACAGCTTAAAATCTACCCTTTGTATGAAAGCGCAGCTACGGTGAAGTCGCCTGTTGTCTGCACACCTGCCATCTTTCGTCTTCGGGGGGGACTTCGTCTTCGGGGGGAATTCGTCTTCGGGGGGAAATCGTCTTCGGGGGGAAATCGTCTTCGGGGGGGATTCGTCTTCGCGTCTTCGGGCATGTGGTTGGGCTCGAGTCTGCTTCTGGGCAATGTGTCTTCGTAATTCGTCTTCGTCTGCGGGTGGAACAGTGCTACCCCCACCGCGGACACAATGTAAGAAAAGGCTTTGCTAAGACATGCCGAGTCCGTATCTAAACAAACCAAATCCGATCCGCGTCTTGCCAAACAAGGTCTGGAAGTGCTTGTCTGAACCCACTGACTCTCACCGAGTGCTCAGGCAGCAATGCAAACACGCACGCGCTTGCAACTAAATTGGTAAGGCTGACGCTCGCAATCAAAGGCATCTGTCTGTCTTTTTGCGGCCTGAAGAACTAGGCGGGTTGCGCCATGACAGATGCTCTACAACATCAACTCGGAAGGACTCAAAGACTGAAAGACGGAAGCTCAGAGGTCTGACGCCTTCCTGTCGATAGCCACGCTGCGTGTAACATGTGGGGCTCGCGCAACTCGGCTGGTATCACTTGGAGCCTGGCTCTAGGTCAGACGCTGACTCATCCTTCATCTCCTGCAACATCTACCTCTGGCATTGCCTCCGCAGCGGGAACGCTGGCCCGTGACAACGAGCCGCCTCGGAAGAGTGCCATTTTACGAGGTAGGCGCAAGAATGCGCAAGGGCGAGCGCAAGGTTTTGAACATTTGTCAGCTTTTTTGCCGCACAAGTCTTGGGGAGAAGGCGGGGCTTGGGCGAGGAGGCGTCTTATTCACGACTAAAACTCTTAATGGCAATGGACGAATGGAAAAGTGTCAATGCTCGACCGCGAACGTTTCCAACCACGAACAAAAAAGCGCAACGCCCGACCATTGCAAAACAAGCCTTCCAGACCTGAAAGCAGCCCCCGAAAAGGCATGGTGCTCTAGGAGACAAAGGTACCGTGAATTGCCCCAATTGGTGTTTAACGCAGGTTGATTCCAAACACCTTTGCTGTGACGAAAGAATGCCCTTGTGCTCTCCAATTCTTCACCATGCCACGCCACTTGCTCTCTCTCTGTCTCTCTCTCCCTCTCTCTCTCTCTCTTTCTCTCTCTCTCTCTCTCTCTCTCTCTCTCTCTCTCTCTCTCTCTCTCTGTCTCTCTCTTTCTCTCTTTTCCTCTTCTCTGAACGCAGCAGGGTTGGCGCGCACTGCTCGAAAATGCGAAAGTTACTACCAAAATTGCAGGGGCTCACGCGATCTGTCATGTGCTGCAGGCTCAATCTCCGAAGACCATCTTCTCAATCTGCCTGACCGTCGGAAATTTCACCTCAGCACCTAGGCAAGCCGGGGAAAACTGCAGCTGAGTGGTCCGTGAGAATGAAAATCGGTGCTGGAAGGCATGCGGACACAGGTAAACAGCGGAGCCCATGAAAGCCTTGACACCCGTCCGATCGCAATTTTGGAGGCCATGCCGCTCACGACCTTAATTGCCCCCGGTCGAGGTCATACGGGATTTCCGAGGTCGTTGCATTTTCACGATTCTCACGGCCTGCAAATTTGTTAAGATTCTGGCAGCGTCGTAAAATATCAAAAGGGCCTGCAAGGGGCCCTGCGTCATTGCGCGTCGCGAAATCTCAAGGTAAACGTTGCACGAGCAGCAGTAAGCCGGATCCGACGCGTTGTCATACAAAGGCTGCGGCAATAAGCGCCCGGACAAGTTATAGAAATATACCCCCGCTTGGGCTCCGCGCCTTGAAGCCTAGGAGGGGTCGAAGTGACCGGCTTGAGCTGCGCAAAGTTTCTGCGCGCCGCCCCTTCGAAAGCGGGCTTGGCCCGAAAATCGCGCTGCCCAGCGCCAAAGATACACTTCCAAAACCCTGGCTCGAAAGTTGCATCTTTTCGTCATCAACCAAGCGCACTCGAATCACGGCCGCAGCCCGGCTCGAAAGTCGGAACTAGTTCTTTTAGGCGCCAAAGAAGCGCACTAAAAGCACGACCGCAACACTGGCGCGAAAGTCACAACTTTGCAGCGCCGAAGAAGCACACACGGCGCGACCTCGACATCACGTTTCCTTCCTAGGCTGTGACAACAATCGCATCCGGGAGCATGAGCCGGCCATGCTCAGCATCGCACAGCATCACGCAAATGACGCTGCGTGCAAAAGCGTGTGAAAATATTTCTTTATCTCGAAGGTGTGGTTCGTGGGGGGGAGGGGGCGGGGGCGAGGTTCAGCACGTCCACCGTTTACCCGCTGAGCGCCTTGAAAACGCACACCCCAATGCCTACATATAACCGCTGCGGGCCGAGCGACGCACCACTTAAGTTGCTCTGCAGTGCTGCAAAACACGCTATAGTGGGTGGAGAGAAACCATAGTAGCACCCTCCGCGTAGCGCAAATGGGTCTATTAGGATCCCCCCCAATGTGTGGCCGGATATGATTTGCGGAGGCTGCGCTGCTTCTGTTCCGGCGGGCAAGCGTGTCTGGCGATAGACCAATGAGTCACGTCATGCTGCAACGCTCACATGTAGTGCGAAACGCAAGTCGCAACACGCTCATCACACATTGCTTTCAATAAGGGGAGACTAGCCCCACAACCTCTTTTTCTACAGTAGGAAGCCCGTTTGGTTTCTTCTTCAGTCCTTCTTTGACTCAACAGGGGGTGTTCTCTTCACGCATCAGAGAAATTCCTTCAGCCGAATATGAGTTGTTCAGTAGAGACCCTTAATCTTGCGTGTGGAGCCCAGGATGTGCCTTTTCAGCGCCCGTTATGTCGAAGGGGCCTTTGTTGTTAGGAAACTTCGCACTATGGGGAAGCCACATGTGTTTTGCCAGCCCAAACTTGCGGGCCTTTCAAAACATGGGTGCCTTACACTTACGGGACCCGCGTTTTGAAGACCGCTTGGCAAATCACAAGTTTTGAAGACCATTGGGAAAACCACATGTTTGTGATTTCTGGAAACGGCGCGGGTCTGGATTTCCGCCACCGCATAACTTCGACAATTTTTTTTGTAAGCTAGGCGAAAACAGATTGTGATTTCAAAACTTGCCTCGGATCTTCGACTAACGGTTCTGCGGAACCGTTTTGACACTTGTTGAGTTTCCGCGAAAGCTTCGAAGAACCCTTCGAAGATCAATTTTGCGGAGCCCTCCCGAGAAGCTGTTTTGCTCGGTATAGCTGTCCCGGCCCCCCCCCTCCCATTTCTGTTTCAGATGTGTGAAGCAAGCCTAAAGACCTTGCAACGTGTTTACACTTGGGGTGCCACTTGACCCTGGGATTCAAAAGGCCTTAAAAAGAAAGGCCTTTATAGAAAGGGCCTTTGTTTATATGGCTGTTGGAATGGGTTCAAGAGTTCAAACATAGCATTGGTGTTGGTGTTTGTCATGGGGGCCTTGTATCTTGAAGTTTGTCGCCGTCCAAAGGGCTTTCTAGCGAGAGAGAGAGAGAGAGAGAGAGAGAGAGAGAGAGAGAGAGAGAGAGTGAGATAGGCATCAATCTAACTTAGTTTCATATTGAAGGCTTGGCTAGCTCTGAGCGCGTTGTACTACGGGCCAATATCCTTCTCTATAATGATATGCCGTTTAAACAACATATTCTTCTTGACTGTGAGCAAAGAAACTAGCTTGCCATCTTCAGCAGTTAAGAACGTTAAGGCAAGGCAACTTGGATATATGTATGATGCGGGGTTTGATTGAATTCGCTTCCATCCGTGCTGCGAGCGCCAGGCAAAGGCGAGTGATTAGGTTATAGTCGGCGAAGGCAGTGCCTGAAGAGGAAGCGCTGCTTATTTTACATGAGCTGCACGTTGGTGCTATATCGTGCTGTGAAACCTGCCAGCCTACCCTTACTGCACTCGTGATTTGTTATTCTGCACCGCAGTGCGTTTCTTTTTTAATTTATACAACGCCCTTCGACGCGGTTCGAGCGACTACAAACCCACCGGCGCAGCGTAATTGGTGCTTGCAACTTTCACTGCTTTGGGAAGGGCCAACGGTTCCTCCACTGCTTGCCGGTTGGGCGTTGCTTGCACGCAATGCGTTAGTTTTTTCCGCGTTTGCAATTGCATCGCCATTTGCAAGGGTGTCCGTCTTTCAGATGTGTGCCAGCCTGGGGGATCAAAATGGACAACTAATACTTATGATAAGCATATACCTTGCAGTGAACAGACGTGAATGCACGTACGTGAGCCATGTTTGGCAAACAACGCAAGGTCCAGTGTCTAGTTTCAGCCAGAACTTAACGAGCAGGGAGCCAAGCTACGAGTTCACGCCTAAAAATGGCGGTTTACGCCCTAAACAGGCCTTTCACGGTAGTTTCACGCTTGTTTCGCGGTGTTTCACGCTTCCTAGTCCCGAAGGTTGTGGACTGAAGATGCCGCTGCGTCCAGGGCGCTGTGTCACATGAGTGGTTGTCTAGACTTGCCCTGCTGGCGTGCTTCAACTCACAAGAAGCATGTGCATTAAAATGTGTGAGCCCACAAAAATATGTGACGTAAGCAATTCGCAGCAAGAATCGGGCTTGATAAGTGTGCTGCTTTGTGTACAGGCAGTGACCGCAAGTTGAAGGGTCACCAACTGACACACTGACTGCGCGGGCCTTAACATGATACATGATGAATACATGCCACATTCAGCTGTTCTCCTGGCCACAGTCATTTGGGTTGCGAGTCTGCCTGTTTGCTGATTTCAGTTAGTCTTGGGAAGCCAAACGCTGCAAGGAACCTCACAGTTCAAGCCACGGACTAAGCTACTACAGTTGTCACGACACGTGCATTGCTTTGTGTGAAGTGGCGGGCAAACTGGCATTACCAACAAAGTACTATAGTACCAGGCTGGTTGTAATTGAATTTGAACACGAGGTTTGCCATGACCGACCTTTGTCGACACAAAGGGCTGGAATATGTAGTTGTTTAACGTTTGTTTTCTAGGTTGTTTGCTAGGCCGTTCCTATATATATAGATGTATTTGTCCAACGTGCTGGCCCGAGGTTGCAAAACCAATATCCTGCCTTTTTATGCTAACCTTCTTTCACATAGTTGATGCTGTTCCAGAAATTCCGACATCGTGCCAAGCCTTTAATTGCGACTGTCACCCTGATCTAATTTCAGAAGCCAGCATGTGAAGCTTCGCAAATCTTGCAATGGCAAGAAAACAACGTTTATGCGTCAAACAAGGCTCACTCAAACATCAAGAGGGCGAGAGACAGAAGGAAAGAGTGTTTCTAAAGAGCAGCTGCTAGAAGTTCCATGCCAAAATAGTACTTACAAGATTGACAATTTGCAAACAAAGGCCTTTACAGGCCTAAAGGGGCCGAGCCGGAAAGGGCTTTGTTTTAATGGCCTCCGACCCCCAGGGTTGAGGTAAAAAGCTCAAAAAACGCTCAAGGCCTGAAAAGTTGCTGGAAAGACCGTGAATTTCATAAACCCCTACAGGCGTAACACACCCCCAATCTACACTAGCGCATATTTATAAAAACAATAGCCGATTTTTGCAAGTTTTTTTCACGGAATTTCACGGATTTTCACGGCCTAGTCACGGATTTTCACGGCCTTTTCACGATTTTTCACGCGAAGCGCGTGCCAGCGAGTGTTAATGACACGGCAGCAGCCCACCACCCCATCGAATTACCACTGCCACGGTTGCAAAGGAAGGCTCAGTCAACACACCCTCAAAGGCTGCTCTTCCTGGCAGTGGGAAAGTAAGGCCACCTGTGTAAAGATCCGTGTTTGCAGCTGCTCTCAAAGTCTTAAGATCATATATTATTAACATATTAAATTCGTAAGATCTCAAAATATTAAAATATTAAGATCTTAAAATGTTAAGATCTTAAGATCTTAAAACAGTAGACAATTGAACTAGTCAAATCTTTAGATTTTTTAAATACGAAAGTATTAGAATCTTGAAACCCTTAAAGCGGAACATTAGCAGAATCTTAAGAGTCTCTTAAAACCTTGGAATCTTAAAATCTAAACACGTCATATATATATATATATATATATTTCTCAGAACCTTAAAATAGTGGAACCTTAAAATTATAGAATCCTGAAATCTGAAAAGCTTAAAAATCTTAAAATCCTAAAATCGTAGTTTCCTGAAACCTTCAAACCTGAAAATATGTAAAACAGTGTCAGAAAAGGATGCCAACTTGCTTTTGCGGTTTCCAACATTATAAATTTTCAGATTCTAAGATTTTAGGATGTAAATATTTTAAGGTTTACATGCTTTATGATTTGAATATTCTAGGATGTTCAGATCTTAAGCTTCTAAGATATCAATAGTTTAAGAGTCCGCGATTTTAAGATTCTAAGATTTTAAGATCTTAGGATCTTAAGATTC